CTACAGAAGGACCCATGACTTTTCACTTGTCTTACAAATGCATGAATTTACCACCAGAGTCAAACACGCGCAATTAGGACGACGAAAAAATGAAGAATGTACAGCCCAACGGACTAGCTGCAAAGCTAGGGAGCTTGTCAAAATACTGCATCGTAGAACCAGTGACCGCTCTCCTCTGATTACCGAAATTGTTGATGGTGAGGGTCACTTACTCCACGACCCAGCTGAAATCTGTAAAGCATTCAGCGACGTTTTTGCCACTACCATGAGCCGCGAAGCTGACCCGGTGCCTGTGTGCACAAAGCTCACAAAAACAATCCTCTTAAGCAGAGTCGATATCTCGCTCAAGGCTATCCATCAAGTTATCAAATTAATCAGGCCATCTTCCATGCTGGGATCTGATGGCATTTCACCAACCACCATTAAACTAGGAGGACCTGATATACCATTGCTACTGATGAGCATGTTCACTCTATCGCTGGAATCTGGCCACTTTCCAGACCAATGGAAAACGTCATTTATTATGCCTTGGCATAAAGGAGGTCCCAAACAAACGATTGGTGACTACCGACCAATCCACCACACTCCGATGATCGCTCGGCTATTTGAAAAGCTGGTAAGGTTGGAGATGAGGAACTTTGTTGATTCTATTGGCCTGATCAACAATTCGCAGCATGGTTTTCCCAGTAAGCGATCGTGCACCACCTGTCAACTGCATTACCTTAATCACATTTCAGAATCAATCGATTCTAGCTATGCAGTAGTAATCTTGTTTCTTGACATACACCAAACGTTCGACGGAGTATCGCACAAGCGACTGCTACAAAAGTTGGAGAACTTTGGGATCCGGGGCCCTTTACTAGGTTGGCTATTGTCATACCTGAGTGATCGTCATCAGGTAGTCACTTTAGGTGATTATCGCGCTTCCCCACGCTCAATCACCAGTGGAGTCATTCAAGGAAGCGTGCTCGGCCCCTTACTCTTTTTGCTCTACATCAATAACATCATCACATCTGTAAAACATGGTACATCCTTTTTATTTGCTGATGATATCAAACCAGTCTAGAAGTTTCGACGTGACAAGCTTCACGGGACATTACTGCTCTTTCAAGATGATTTACATTCCCTTGAGTCATGGTGCTGCACGTGTGTGATGAACCTCGGCTAAGAAATCAAGCATCATGTCTTATGGCTGCTACATCCCCGAAGGACCTATCACCCTAAACAATGAACGCGTCCCTACACAGTTGTCCACGCGAGATCTCGAAATTAGGTACTCGTCTACCTTCAATTTCTTCCTACAAGCCCAATACCAAGTAGCACGTGCCAGACAGTCGATGTTCAATATATCAAACAAAATACACGCAACTCGTGCTAGAGTTGAGCTTTTCAAGCTACACACTCGCCCTATCCTTGAATCCTGCAGCATGATATACGGAAATATGAGAAAGAGTGACAGAATTGCTGTGGATAACCTGCAGAGGTCATTTACTAAACACCTGATTGGTAAACACTGCTATGAGTTATCTAGAACGTTGCAATGAACTTAATCTCAAATCACTTTGGATTTGACGATTGAAGCACAACCTTTTGCTGCTTTTCAACATATTACACAGAAAGACCTATTCCAACCTGCCTACGCTCGATTTAAACAACATTGTTCAACTCGAGCGCTTCGCAACAAAGATTTTACAATGAATATACCGAAGGCTAGAACGAACGTCCGCTCTAATTTCTTCCTGGTCAGATACAGCTATCTGTGGAATAAACTACCAATAACATTCAGGTCATGTGACAATGTGGCCACATTTAGTAGCAGACTCGCCAATTACCTTGATCTAACTACCCTAAGCTCTATATTCACATAGGAAAAATCCCTCGATGAGCTATTCCAAGAGGGGCCCAAAGATATATAAACACCAATGTTTTCATAACTAAGCTTTGGCCTCAACCATCCGGCAGAATGTTAATACATGAAACGCATATCCCAATACTCCACCTATGCATGTCACCCATGCAAGAGCATGGATTCTTCTGTACAAATTGATCTGTGCCGCTATAGACACAGTTTCTCTCATCAAGAGAAATATACCTGTTATTATTATTATTATTATTATTACTATGTCTCGGACAAAACAGTAGCGCACCATGACTATCCTTGGTCTTACACATAAATCTATCAGGGTTATTGGGTAAGGACGCCTTAAATATGGCCCGCGCAAGCGAGACAGAGCGTTTTTGCCAATTACTGTGTAATCGATCAAAACGATTATTTCGGTCTTCAGAAAATATCTGTTGCATGCGACAGGTTGGTTACTAACAATAAGCTCAATGCTAGAATCTCTAGAGAAGTTATTGTGTGTCGAAAAGTGCTTATCGTCAGCGCAATCAAGGCGTGGCCTCTTTGAAGATGAGTATGTGAAATGGATGGGAAAACAGTATGATCAATGAGGACGAAGGAGATTGCATCCATTCACAAACTTCATGGCTAAATTATGCAGTACTGAAAGTATCAGAAGGCATGAAATGTAACCTGTTTGATATACTGATTCGTCCCAGAATATATCCGTGGTTCGGGATAGGTTTCGAAATGAAACGACACTGAGATATTTGGTAGTGAATAATGTGGTCCCTCACAACCAGGCTAGCTGGACCGTGCCTCACCTAGTTAGGAATATACCAATTTCAACTACAATAACTAGAAATGAATCCACAAGAGCAGTGATGGTTATTGACTTGACCGGTGATCACCATCATCTCCATTTCTTACACGTTGGCTAAAGATGAGAAACGCTCAGCTATATTGCCCAATATGAGTATATGTAAAATGCGAGATGCTAAGCATTACAGAATATGAAATAACAACCACAAGAGGTAACATAATGCTAAGTATCATATGATGCACGGATTGTGAAACCGCGGTAGGAGAAGGAACCTAAGCTGGAGGGTGAGGGACAGAGAAACTCACAACACTATTAAGTTCGCCTTATCAACATGTGTATTCAACCAAACGTGTTCATCGCCCTTCGGTCCCCTATTCTGGCAGTCGGGAGACGCCACGCGACACCAATTTCGAAGTGATGTTCATCATATATCTTGTCGTCACTTGGCCTCCCCTCCATCCACATGTCGGTCGCGTAAACAACGCACGTCGCGGGAGTTGGCGTACTGGCATGTACAGCACGTGGCCCAATCAACGGAGCCTGATATGTGGAATAACGGTGCTGATCGGTTCACTCGCTCTTCCTGTACTAAATAAACGATGCCGACTACGCTCATTACTTACGCGGTGTCCACACCAGACACGAGCTAAACTGCGAATGCAGTTGTTGTCGAATGTAACAGGTTTCTTTTGGTCTGTCGTTCTTGGGGGGGGGGGCAGGTGTTGCAACGGTACAGGAGGGTTGAACGTACGGCTTCGTTGCACATATTTGCCTTTCATGGCGAGAGAAATGTCACACTGGCACCACAGGTGGTATAGATCGGCACAAGCGCCTCGATCTTTCGCTGTACGGTTCGTAATTTCATTGTCTGTTCCACGGGCTTTAACATAGCCTTCTAAATACTTGATTTTCACAACAATTTCTACCTTATGACCAATAAGGGTCAGTTCAGAGGTGAGTCCCTGCCAATTTGGAAGAAAACTGTATTTCGACGCTGCCAAGCAAACCCCGAAACGATTGACGGTCAGTGCTATATTGTCCAGTACAGCTTGACACGTTTGTGAGCTGACACAGATTAGAGCAAGAAGTCGATCACCTGGGATCAGG